AGCATATATATATGTTTATTTTTCCATTAAATAATTTTATATATTTACACATGTTTCAGCACACACTCACTCACTCAATGTGACACTTGTCATGTACTGTCATTATGGGGTGTACATTTACACATACCTAGTTAAGCCACATTCATTACAATGCCGTTCAAATGCTTATTTTTAATTCTGTTAACTTAAAAAAAAGTCAGTATCATATCAAAAGGTGATAAGATGCGGTATCGGATGATGAGAACTGAGATCCACAATGCAGGAAAGAACCTTTTTTCGGTACAAATGGATGAATAGCACTGAACACCAGGGAATAGAATAAAGACCTAAAATAAAGGGAAGAGATCCCCAAAATCTGGCCAGGGAACGTACCTAAGAGAAAGAGAAGAGAAGGGAAGAGAGGACCAGAGGAAGAGATGTGTATATAATATATCATTATAAAGGAAGAGAGAGGTGTAATTAATAAACAGTCCTATGTACACAGCTGAGATAGTGAGATAAAGCGCCGTTTATAACATAGGTAGCCACCTAGAGAGAGCGATACAGACGTATATTACTAGAAAGAGGAAGTAGGAAAGTGTAAATTCACTGCTTGCCTCAACCGGGTTTAAGAACGCAAATTCTGCTTAACACGTATAGATATACAGATATATTTTTGAAGGTTTTTAATAGTTCCCAATATAAGAAACAATAAATAGCGATATGAATCCAATGGCATCATTTAAAACTAAATAAAAAGGGGGGAGAAAAAAAAATCACATAAAAAAGCTTTCCAATAAGCTGTAAGCAAAAGCCAGCGATGCTGCATTAATTTTATGTAACATAATGCCTTAATATGCAGTTTATCTTGCCTTTTTTCACTCACATTCTTCCGTCATTTGCATAGTGAGCTCTCTCCTAATTTCACAGTCATTATGCACTGATGTCCTTATTTCTCAGCATCACTAATTTTGATTAACTTAAAATGGTTCTTGAAGGTCAGATACATAGTAACGACATATTCCTCGCATTGTTGCATAAATCCACTTTTTTTTTTCCCCCTCACCCCCACCAACCCCCCTGCGAGTGTGTGGGTTGCAAAATGATTTTTTCATTTTCCTTATAATGGAATAGGGTTATGAGTAAGTCACGATGGCACTGCAGCCTAAGATGCCCGCGAAGGAAAAAAAAAAGCAAGAAATTCTGGACACCCGGCTCCTGGTGCAATTGGCCGCGTTTCAATGCCAAGTCCCTGATGTGATGTTACTACACTGCGCGAAGCCGTTTGATTCAAGAGTATCAACCAACTGGCACTGTGGCAAATCCTCGGAGAGCTCCGTCATCAGAAGCGGAGAGGTGTAATCCCATTAATTCGCTCTATTCCGTTCTGCATTGCTTTCAAAATATAACAAGGCATTCAATAAATACACTTTACCGGGCTATATCACTCATCTGGGTTAATGCCGGAATCATTAGATCACAATACAAGTTTACTTTTCCTTGAGGTCCGCTCTGCCTTTCTCGTTGCTGTTTTATTAAACAAACAGCGGAAGTCGACATTTAAATGTAGCGCAGAGATTTTCTTTTTTTTTAATCTACCCCCTAAAATATGGACTGCGTTCAACACAAACACACGGTGCAGAGCTAGTGAATCGGCAAGTAACTGTCAGCACGGTGAAAGGGAAAAAAAGGGTAAGGTGCAACTAATACTGCATATTAATATAGACTTCTCAGTTTCCTCATAGTGCAAAGATGGCTGAGAAGCGAGACAACAGAACAGACTGCTAAAAGGCGATCTGTGATTGGTGGCTGTGCGCCATGTCGTCGATAAAGATCTTCTAGTCTAGGCTTAAATAACGGAAATCTAGCACACACCAAAGACTCGTGGTAGCCAGCATCACATTCAGCACTATGGAATTAGAATATAGCCTGTAGGGAAGTTAGCTTTCATCCCAGGCTTCTCCCATAGGTGATTTGTGATAGATTTCCCTAAATAAAGCGACAGGCAATGTTGAAAATGGAAGAACCAATCAGCAGTGGTCTTCACCTGTTCAGACTGCTCTAAGCTGATAAAAACTAAAACATCTGCACATCATAATTGCATTTTGCTATGTTTATTTTGATTTAAGTAAAAGAAGAAGAAAGTTCTTTATGCATTTTTACACCTACGAATGGCTGTAGACAAGGCAGGTGTCAACCTGAAAACAACAGGCAGGGAGACATTTGCCTGTCTTTGATTACACCGGGACCTGGTACTGTCATTAGCATGACTTGCCTGATGGCCTGCAGTAGCACATGTGTAGTTTACTACTTCCTTCCTTCCTTTCTTCAGGAAGGATAATCAAAATTGCTCAGAGATTTACCAACAAGCTGGAAGATCTCAGCCCCAGGAACAATCTAACCTCAGAAGAATCTATTTTTAAGCCAAAGTGTTCCCAAAAAGAGAAGATAGTCGCCCAAGTGTCAAATAAGTGGCAAGTTATGTAGCAAGTCAACATCGACATCCAAGCCAACATGTACAAACTCCAAGAAACTATTTCTAAATATACACTTATAATGCAATTCTACAACTGTATACAGTTGGAAGTTGTTTCTAATGTTGTAGATTTATCCTTTATCCGCCTACTGCTATTTATACAATTCATAATACACAAGAGAGGGCCAATTGTTTTAGGCTGAAGGTTCTCAGAAACCAAAAAGTATCATGCAGTATGGCAAAAAACACTCATACATGGAACATTTTATTGGATCCACCATTGTTTATGGTCTACAGCAAAGTCATAAGCAACAGTTTAGAGCAAATTGCTCAGGGGAAGTTGTGTGTCATATGCTGAACAACACAAATGCAAGCTGGGTGAGAGAGAATGTCTATAATCAGATTTCCTGATGCACAGGCAACTAATGTATGGTGTGGCTATATACAGACATATCTCTCATGTACAATGATGGTTGAAGTTCCATTCACATCACAGTGCAGCTAACAGTACAATATGGAGCAGAGATGGCAAGTTTTAACCCCTTTTCTGGACTGGAAGCATCTAAACTGGAATAAATGTTCCAACGTGCTATGCAGATTGATGGTTTTTAATAACAATGATCAAATTGGTTGCATCACTTGAAATGTATTTAAACCCTATCACTATAATCACATATAACCTTTAACATGTTAATATAATGCAAAAGGATTTTGTTATATATTTAAATCTGGTGATCCTGGCATGGAGGTCCTTGGTTAGTTATTTTGTGTTATATAATGACAATGCTCTGTCCATGTCTCCGAATTTAGTTGCTGTGTTGTCATACTGTGGGCTTTCAGTCCATAGGTTTTAATAGACTACAAGTGATTGTTTGAAGACACATTACCCAGATATGGTATACTGTTGTCACCATCAGGAAACCCACCCCAGAAAAATGCCATGCAGCCATCAATTGGCTGCAAAAGGGCAGTGGCGAGATGCCAGAGGATGAAAACATGTGAAGAGAAGCATTTTAAAAAGGGCAGTTTTTATGGTACACAGTTATTTAGCAAACACATTGCTCCAAGATACTAAGGAAGAATCCTTATCGGCAAAGCCCAAGTGTGTAAAAAAAGACCCGTGTTGCCTCAACACTTGCCATGCTGATACCGAAAGGACCTAGGAAGTCTCACCAAACTTTTCTTCAAGCCGTTAGTCCTTAGCATGAAAAAGACTCAAAGGCCAAGCAGCCTCAGCGCTAGGAAATAATAGGCCACACTTTATTACCCATTACTACCGAGGTCATTAGCGGCAAGAGTGATTGTCCTGGTCTTAACCTATTGATCACTGTAACTACCATCATTTAATTCTGAGCCGAGCATCTCTACAGCAGCTAAGAGCACACTAGAGAGAGTGGTTTATTGTAGAGAAATACAGCCAAGCACTGAAAATTACGCTTTGATTCATAAAATCTACTCAGTGGTTTAAATCAATAGTATTTAAAACAGTCACGCCAACTTCTTAAGTACATCCCTCTCATATTTACGACTCCCATTCTGAATGTACTCATTCAAAACTAAAACTTTATTTTAAAAACCGTCTAGAATCCTCTGCAGACCCCTCTATGCAAAGCGCAGACATCGGAGGGGGGGGGAGAGGAAGTTTT